GATGGCGTAGGCTGCAGTGGGGCTGCAGTGGGCTGCCATAAGCTACCGTGAGTGGCTGGCAGCCAGCGTGAGCTGCCAAGAGCCGCCATGAATGGCTGTCCAGTGGCCAGCGACTGATCTGCTTCAGTAGGGAGGAGTGCAATGATCACAGTGCCAACATGGGCCAGTGGAATGACGTCCTCGACAACTAGTCTGAAGAACAAAAGGACAGTGGCTTGTCTGTTCCCCTTCTCCGATTCCCCAGCTCTGTTTCCCTTCCCCAATTAAAAAAATCTTAAAAAAAACAAAAAAATTGGTTAGTGTTTAGCTGTTTCAGCGGAGCTTGAATGGTGCCCATTCTTTTTTCCTTTGAAGCATGATTCAATACAAAAATAGGTAATCATTTCATTCTACAGTGAACTTTCCTGTTTTAGGCTCTTGTCCATAGCCAGAGTCGCACAAGTACTTCTTGAGGGTGATTGTCTTATGTGCTGTCAAAAGTAGCCAGGAAAAGGTCTTCAGGTGCATTAGGGCTGGACTTATAGTCCAAGCTTAATAAGTGACCATAAGCTTCATAGGTATATTTTAAGTTATGACAATAGCAGTACCTTCAAAAGTCTTCATCGTGATCCTTTGAAGGAATATGCTTTATTTGGTTATGTTTCTCACATCCTGTATTTTATCATACTTGCCGAAAATTAAAGGAAGCTACTATTAGGTTTAAAGAATGAAAGAAACTCATTGAAAACATGGCTAAAAAATGGAAAGCTTCTCTGGATAGGATTAAGATATTTTGAGGTACTGCATAGAGGAATTAGTGTCATTAAGGCTATTCAAAAAGCATAAAGAATGTAATTACTATAAAAGCAGTATGTTTACTTTGGTATTGTGTAAAGAGGATGCGATAATGTCTGCATCATTTAATACTTGATGTTTTCTCTCAACAAATGGCAAAAAAAGCCCCCAAATGTATTCAGCATATAAACACATCCCTTTTATATGTTAGTTTTAGCCTGAAAGCGCTGTTTTAATGGAATACTTCCTGTCAAAATACTAATAATTTGAATACATGTTTGATGTACCATATTTCATTTATTGCTTTTGCTGAAATGACCGAATGAGAACAATGTTGCTAATTTCAGATATATGTGTTCACAATAGCTATTGGAAGAAAATTGATTTTATGATGTTATTTCAAAAGCAGTCATTTGTACTGTGCTATGTTTTGAGTTCTATGCTCATTTTCAAAAAGAGGTTATTATTTATATTGTGGATATCTGCCCCAAACTTGAATACATAGGGCTCTGAGACAAGAACGGAAAGAAGGAAGTGAGAGGTAAGAAAGAAGGATGCTAGGGAGACGGCACAGAATGGGAAGGGTAGTTTATAAGACCACTTCAGTGCTTATCATCATTTTTAGCAAAATTTAATTAGAGGAGGAAGAGGAAATACAATATATACATACATAGTCAGTCATTTTGGAGTGCTTGAATGGTTAGAATGAGGCCATTATCTGAATGAGGCTATTATCTGTGTCACTGCTCTGCCTTTATTATCAAACACAAAAGAGAATGGGCCTGGTCCACCGCTGGGGGGGAGGGGGAGGGCAGGAAATGTAAACATATTCTCTGCTGAAGAAATGGAGAATATCTTTTCAAGGATTAAAAGTAGAAACTATGTAAACCAACTTGTTTAAGGATGTACAACAGAACATGGGTAGCACTTGGGCTATTTGATTTGTCTCTAATGTCTCTGCTTGTCTTTGCAACAAAGTGGAGATGTATTCAGTAAAACTGACAAATGGTGAGAATATATTTTAATCCTAAAAATAAAATCACTATGGTATTATGGCAGTCCTTAAAGACTTTTAAGAGCCACTCAGAGTTCAAGAAGTAGTTCATGTGCAGTATCCTCTATATTATGAGAGGGATGGAACAAAAAGGAAACATTTTGAAGTAAATTTTAACCCCTTCTCAAAATCTCAGTTTTATAATAGATTTGTTTGTGTATGGCTTTTGAAGTATAAATACTATTATTTTCAAAGGTATATTCCATGAAATCACAGTTGTACTCATTCATCTGAGTTGTATATGTCATTAAAGGATTTCCTGAAATGCATATTTTTGCTTTTTAGATGCTGATAGACAAGATTCCATTAATCTCTTCTTGGGAGTTTTCCATCCCATGGAAGGGAAACCTCATCTCTGGGAACTCCCAACAGATTTTTATTTGCATCATAAAAACACCATGAGACTTTTACCAACAAGAAGGTATTTTTCTTCCTAGTCTACTATGTAAACTCAGATTTAATGCTATTTTGAAAATGAGATACTTTTTTTTTTTTTAGAAATAATTACATATTGCTGAAGTCATCAGTCTTTCTACATGTTTGTCCTGAGGAATTTAGTATTGTTGATGTCCTGATAATAGGTTTGGGAAATTGTCCTTAACAATTGGTGTTTTGCATTTTCCTCAAGATACAGTTTCAGAACTTTATTATTGAACATAGGTTATAGCTTCACTAAAACAAGTCATCAACATCATTTTTGAGTGCTTCCTAAAACATGGAACTCTATAAAGAATTCTAACATTTAAGAAGTCAATCTTTGGTTTTTCAAGTGTGGTGTCTAAGCAGTGCTTTTTCCTCCAGTAAGCACCACCAACTCTGGGTGATACCAGTAAAGACAGGAACTAGAGCAGTGACTCCAGTGGCAGATCCACTCCCATCGCCCCGACCACTCAGTTGGGGCTTTCTAGAATCATTCGCCAGGTCAAATTATTTTGATGGCAGTTAAATTGGTATTAATGTTCTCGAAAGAAATGAACATAGTGTGGGCCTCAAGGTCAGGTGGCCTTGAGTTGAAAGTTCGCAGTTGTGTGCCCTTGGACTAGTTATTTAACCTCTCTAAGCCTCATTTTCCTCATCTGCAAAATGTACTATAAATGACCGGACACACCTCCCAGAGTTGTTCTGAGGATTTAATGAAAACACTTGTGTTTTTAATTGAGGAGCCATGTACTAATATAATCAGTTTTGCCCCATGAGCATAATTGTCACATACATGAGTCTGGGGCCTGGTCCATTCTGCTCAAAGGCCCATAATGTCAAGTTCTCTCCTAATGCTCTCCTCTTGCAGCACCAGTTTGATGTAGCCCTTATTTTGTGCAATGATGCCTCCCAAACACTACAGGGGTTATTGACAGTCTATGCTAATTATGTGGATAGACCACAAACAACTGATGAACTAGCAAATGCTGACGTTACAGCTGTTACCAAATTCTGTGTTACTTTAGGAATATTTAAAGTATTAGGGAAGTGTCAGACGTTTTGTTTCTCAGATGTGTTCTGATAAGTGCATATTATTAGAGTAACCAACTTAATACTTGAGCTTACTTTCCCCATAAATGAAGCACTGCTGGTTTTTACATTAAATTTAGTATTAATAAATGATTGCCTATGGGAAGTTTTGCTGATAAGCAAAGAATTTGGAATTACATTTATCTGGGGAGAAATGAGTGTAAATACCTATATTTAGCTTTGGTGATGCAATTGACTGTGGGTAAATGTATTTGATTTTCTGAAATTTTATATTGCCTTTAAGTATTGAAACTATTAAGACAACTTGGGAACAACAAAATCTTGATTTTCTACTGCAGAAATTAGCTAGTATTTTTCAAGGGTAAATTAAACCACTTGCTTATCTTGAGTTATATAACTAAGGCAGGCAGTGTTAGAGCTTATTTGGGGAAATAAAAAGAAGCTGGTGTTACATCCCCATTTTCTAGAAAAAAGGATACTGAGGTGTGAAGAGAATGTGTCTTGATAGATTATTCAGCTAGTTAGGTGATTTAACAAGAATCAGCTACAAGCCTGCTACTAAAAATAAAGTTTTATCAAAGTAGCTATTGTAATAGGGCTCTCTCAGTTGATGTGGTCTCCTGTTTTTGCTTTTTTCTCCAGAATGTCAAGAATCCCCCAAATTGGTTAATTGTGTCAATAATTGATACTGCCTATAAATAGTATTTATAAATACTATAAGATAAATTTCAGTGTTTTATTTTGGACTTTCTAGTGTCACCCACCTATACTGGTTATTTTGATGACAGTTAAATCAGTATTATAATCCTCAGAAGAAATGAACAATTTGGCTGGAGGCAATTACAGGACAACAGCATGGACTTAAGGGTTGTGTGCAGCTGAGTTGGAATTTCTGCAAGTGTGTGACCTTAGACCTGTTACTTAACCTCTGGAAATCTCTTTTTCTCATCTGTAATATGGAGATGACTATGCCCCCCTTACAAGGTCACTTTGCGGATTAAGTGAGAAAATGTGTGGGAAGTACCTAGTACTGGGTCTAACACAGAATACACACTGTCCTGAAGCAGTCAGGCTATGGAGAGACTGCCTCCAGTTAATACCTGTGTGACCATGGGCAAGTCACGTAACTGGTCTAAATTTCAGTGTCCTCATCAGTAAAACAGAGATAATAATTGTATCTAACTTGTAGGTTTTCCTGAGAATCCAGATGTGATAATATAAATGTTTAGCACATAGTGAATTCAATAGATATCAGTATTGTTTTTATTCTTTAAGTAGATTACATTCTCTAGTTGTAATATTTATTAAAAATCATACAGGATGTCCATAAAATCTGGAAAGTTAGGTAATATCATTTTATTGCTTATTATAAGTAGAAACTTTATTATGTATTTGTTTGTTCCCAAACTTGGTGACCATCTTGTATTTTATACTATGTTTACCAGTGATTTATCCTGAAATAATATTTTTATTGAATGATAAAGGAATGATAAACCTAGCTCTGCCTACAGTTCATCCAAACCAGGTCCCCTTTAGGTAACTACTTCTGTTACTCAAAATCTGACATGTATTCATCTGCTCAAAACTAGTAATTGAAGTTTTGTTTTGAATTAGGTTATGTCATACATCATCTAAGTGTTTATAATGTCACCAAGATGTTCTTAGATATTAAGCATTAATTATTTCATTGACTCAGAGTTGGGAGGTTTCCTGGCTCCACTCACTGTCTGATATGGGACTTGCCTCTGCATCTGCCCAGGGAGAGGTCATCTGGTCTATGCCAGACTTGTCCTAATTTGTCAACTAGCACAAGTCTGGTTGAGGAGGCAGTTGTTTCGGAAAGCTCACTTATACAATTCTTCCTCATCTCATGCTGAGACCTGCTTCTCTGTAACTTTACTTACTAATCTTAGTTCAACCCACTGGAACATGACTTCCTCATCCACTGGATCGTCTTTTAAATATTTGAAGACAACTTCACACGTTCTCAAAATCTCGTCTTCTCCAGGTTAAATAGCCCCACTTTCTTCACCTGTTCCTCGTATTCTGTGGTATCGAGTCTCTTTAGCATTCAGAATTCTCTCTTCTGTATATAGTCCAGTCAATGATAATGTTCTTTTTAAACTGATATCCAAACCTGGGTCCAATAATAGTCAGAGTTTGATCTGATTTGTGCCAACTATTGTGGGACCATTATTCCCCTTGTCCTTGGTGCTCTATTTTTATCAATAAGTGTAAGATTACGTTAGCTGTTTTCAGCCTTGCCATCGTAGTGTTAACTATGAGCTTCCTGTCCATTAGAACTCCCAAGTCTTTTTAACGTGTGCTGCCATGCCTTATCTATACCATGCTTGTGCTCATTTGAGCATTCTTGTCATGCTCAGATATGCTTTGCCTACTTCCCAAAAAACGTATTTAAATGTGTGTCCTTTTTATTAACTATTCATCTTAGCTTTGTAGCTTCTTCAGACTTAGTCGTCTGGGTCATCTTAATCCTAATACAAGTCTTTGATGAAAACTGTTGAAAAGAATAGGGTAGCTGGCCTGTGGGATATCGCCAGATGATTCCTTAAAATTGTTTCATAATTTTTAGTTGGAATCATTTCAATGGCTGTAACCTACTATATTGTTATCACTTAACTATACTGTTATCCTGCCCACATTTCTGTATCTTGTTCACAAATATTGATTGCTTTGCTCAAGTCCATATATGTTATTTCAGAGGGCTCCCAAGTTAGCTAGGGGAACTAAAGAGTCATTTTTAATCTCCCTAACCTGCCTATTTGAGCCAGTGGAATTGAGCAGTCTTAATACTCAGGACTGAAAAAGAGAAAAAATGCTGACTTACTAGGTATTGTATATACGTAAAGAAAGAAGTGATACCAACTTGCTTCTCCCTCCTCTGATTCCTGGTCCCAAAGGAGGTTTCTGTCCTGGTGCAGGTGCTCTTCTTCTGAGTAAATGTACCTGGTGGTGGAGGTAATGAAGATTCCCCTTGTCCTGGGCTTGATCCTCTCATGCCCTCAATCCTCCATCCATCTCAGTTCATCTTCCCCAGAGCACATATTTCTCCTGGGCTTCTTTGCTTCTGAGACCCACTTAGAGAAGTTAGACTTTTAAAAAAGCATTGTTAAGTTGCTTTGTCTTGCTTAGAAAATACAGTTTAGTGATATTTAGAAAAAAATTATGTCCTGGTCTCAAATCACTAATGTAAGATTGTCTCTTAATTCTTTTTCTCCACATGGTGCATTCTGAGTTAAAACATGTTTTTATAATATTTACTTTTTCCTAAATAAGCTACTGTATTTTGCCATGTATATAATGCACTCCCATATATAATGCTCATCTGCATTTTTGGCCCAAACTTTCAGGGAAAAAAATCTTTTGTTTTAATTTTTTAATTCAAATTTTTATTTGTTCACATTTAGGTACTTGTTTTTTGTATTATAAAGGAATTTTAGCATTTAGTTTTTAGCATATTATGGTATAAGAAATTTTATGTACCAGTAACTAATTTACGATATTTACACATCATAGGAGGCCAAGAACTCTTCATTGCAAGTTCATTGTAAATTCAACAAAACCAATTATCGTATTCCAGGATATTATTTTGCATGCGGATATCATTATTGGTTTCTAGAGTTACACTTTTAACTCATAAGCATAGATAAAAGAATAAAAACATTTATATAGATATGGTATTAGCACTACCCATGTATAATGCACATCCTTATTTTTCCCTCACAAATTTGGGCAAAAAAGTGTGCATTATACAAGACAAAATACAGTAATTGTGAGCAACATCCTTTAGGAAATTCCTTTTATACTAGCTGGTACATTCTCTACTTTCCTCCTCTGCTGAGGTTAGGTCATCACAAAATAGAACTTACATCCCTGCATTCTCACTCTCTCTCTCTCTCACACACACACACACACATACACACACACACTCATGTCTTTTTCATTACCGTGATCGGATAGTCTGATTCTCCTACCACAAAAGAAAATGAGGTTAGCCTGGTATGGCTAGTTTGAGTGAATATATGTGATTCACAGAAGTCACTGGTCATCTTTTTTAGGTTACTCACAACACATCTCTAGCTAATACTTGACTCTGTTATCTTCTGGGGTGGACATCACATTCATTGATGTATAGTTTTGAGAATGTATCATCACTCTCTCATTTTTGAGCATCAAGACTACATTTGCCCATTTACAGTGTAAGTTCCATTCTTCATTATTCCTTTAAAGGATTATTGATCTCAGCTGTACCAGGACACTTGAATGCTTTCATAAATGCTCTACTGCTTCTCTTGGGCGGTTCCCTCTTTCTTGTCTTTTTCTCTTTCCAGCATGAAACTCATGGCTAGTGAAGGTAGAAACAATGCTGAAATTAAGTAACTCCACTTTCTCTGTCATTATTTTCAACATGCTATTTCTAGCACACAGAGCAGTGTTTGACACACAGTAGGTGGTTAATAAATATTGAAAGAATAATGAATTGTCTGCAAGAAGCAGACATCCCTTTTCTGTTCTTTTCATGCTCGAAAGCCTTGCTATTCAAAAAGCAGTCTGAAGACCAGTCCCTTTGGCATCACCCGGGAGCTCGTCATGAAAACAGCCTCTCAGGGGACCTACTGAATCAGTATCCGCCTTTTGACAGGATCACCAAGTGATTCGTGTGTGCACTGAATTTTGAGAAGCACTGCTCTAAAGCATAACTTCAGTCACAAGCAAAACTTTTGGAGCCTTTCCTGTTACCACAACACTCCCCCCTCACAGTTCATTACGTTTCATATTTCTTTTCTTCATCATGCTTGATTATGTATGCATATTCTGCTTGCCATCTCCAGGAGAGTTCTCTGTATTGCCTATTTCATTTAAATACTCCCCCATTCTTCATAATTGGGATTATCCAAGATTATAATGTCAGCATTTCATTTTTAGAAAGCCTTTCATTTGTTTAAAGTTATATTTTTAGCATTTTTGTCCATAGGCTCTTTTTTCTGAACCTTTTGAAAAGGTGTTTTTTAAAAGTTTTGATATGCCACTCCAAACCATTCTTCTTCCTAGCTCTCATGAACTTGGATATAGCATTTTTTTCTGTAAATATCTATTTCATCAGAATTTGATTTATAATTACATTCAGTGTTCAGAGAGGAGGCTCTTTGGGATTCTCTGCTCAGAGCTGATGAGTGTTCTAGCAGAAATCCAGATCACTGAAATTCCCTGCCTTCCTCTGGCTGGCCTCTCTGATCAAGTAGTGAACACTTATAAAAGATTAACAGGACTTAAACTGTTTTCTGAGGGAAATTGTTCTTTAGGACTACCCATTCACTTAATGATTTTGCTTAACTGTTATAACTTTTAACTGTACAGACCCATACACAGAGAGCAGAGTAGAAGTAATCTAACTCTCAGATAATTGCGTACAAGAGAATCCTGGTTGTAGGACTTGGGTCAAGGTCCCATTGCTCACCGGGTGGCAGTCATGCAGGCACAGTCCCTTGGGAGAAGTAAACAGCAGCTCATAGAACCTGATTTAGTATACCTAAACCTTTTCTTAGCTGAAAGTAAGTACATCAGAGCATCTTGATTCTCAGATGTGTTCAGGGCATTTTTGTAGATCTGTGACATAGTTGAAACAAAAACGGAGTTGGGAAAGGAATTAACATGTTGAAGACTTTCTGTGCCAAAAGCTTAACAAATGTGATTTAAAAAGAAAAACAGAAAAAACTTTGACATATGAGGCAATGTCTTACTATAGACCATTACAACCCCTTTAATCCAGTGAATTGTAGAAAACCAACATTTACATTTGGTTCATCTTTTTTTTTTTTTTTTTTGAAATTTTATAGTTATACTTACTGGTGGACACCAGAGATAATAAAACATTTACCGCTGCCTTATGATGAAGGTAGGTATGCTGTTTCTTTCTTAGTTTTTATACTAACATTTTGGAATTATTCCTACATGAGCTTGAAGTATTAAATTCTTGGCATATAACATTTTGTTAAAAAGAAATGAATGGCTACTTAGTGTTATGTTGCTGTTATAATGGGGGATTGTGACATTTTAGACAACTTTTTAAAAGGCAGGGATTGTTTTTAACTTCTTTTATCTAAGTAGGCCAAAACCTTGTCTCGTGTCTTACAATTATTAGGTTATGCCCCTCAAATGTTTAGTAGATGTAATATACTACTTCATCATTTCAAATTAGTACTGATTATATTTCTAGATATTTGGTGGGAATGGGGAGAACATGAAGACCCATTTACAAGGAGAAATAAAAACTTTTCCTATATCTAAGCAGTGAAAAAAGTACAGATATGTGTTTAAAAGTACCTTTTAGTCACTAAAGTTTAAATTAAATTTTATTAATTGGTCAGAAAGGCAGGAAAATTTTTGTATTAAAAGAATGCCCTCAAATGTACAATACATTAGAATGATGTTTCCAAGTTTAATGAATTGCTCAGTTTTAAATAGAGTTTAGCCCTGGTTCTGTTTCTGATTCCCCTGACCTTGGGCAAGCCAATTTTTTTATTTGTAAAAGGGAAGTTCCATCTACTGCCTGTCTGGAACCCTCTGGTTGAGGACTCCATGTGGTCGTGGTTAAACGTCCCTTACTTCATGGTGAAGTCATGAAGTAAGAAGATAGCAAATGGTTTTTAGTTCATAATAAATTACTAATTAATTTTTTAATTTTTAAAAAGTATTTGGAACCTTGAAATTCTGGGCAAAATTATCACTCATATTGCTAAGAAGGTTCTGGAAGAAAGGACTTAACAGTATAACATTGGCCATAAACAGGATTTGAAGTATACAAGAAAATTTAGTGAAATAGCTGCACGATTTTTATCTAGAAGGCCAGAGGGCACTTATTTAAGAGCAAAAAGGAACTAAAAGAGCTGAGTAATGTGACTTTTAAAACAACTCCCTGCTGCCACCCTGACCCCCAGAGGCCCTCCTGCCTCCTTAGAGCCTGCTGCACTCAGCTTCACACTGTGTATTCTCTGCACATATATTTTCTTTTTTCCAAATGCCAAAGACCGGAGCTGAACCTTGTTCAGCATGCTCTGTGAATAGTTGATATTACAGACATGTTTGCTAGATGTAATCTAAAGACTAACAGGCAGTCTCTCTCTTAGTTATCTGTGCTGCGAACTTAAAGAAGTTGATGGTGAAGAAATTTCACAAATACGAAGAAGAGATTGACATCCACAACGAGTTCTTCCGACCATACGAATTGAGTAGTTTTGATGACACCTTTTGCTTAGCTATGACAAGTTCAGCACGGTATGTTGTGAGGATTGGGGAACTGTAGCTCTCCTGGTTTATATGGATATGTCTTACTTGACCAGAAATCTGTTCTGCAAGCCTGTTTGCAGGTGGTGGTTCAGATCCTAAGTGCCTCCTGTGATGGGGAGCCCACCACTTCTATTATTAGACAACTGTAGTTAATTTCTGCCCTTTGATAAGTTCAAACCTGCCTCCCGTTGGTCCTAGTTTGTTATTTGAAATAAACTCAAGTTTTAAAATTGAACATAGAAATTGAGAGCTAACATAATTAGTGGCAAAAAGCATAGTCTTTGGAACTAGAAAGGCCGGGATGTGACTCTTAGACCAGCCACTGCCTACCTGTGTGACTTTGAGAAAATTATCCAATGTATCTGAGTTCCAGTTTCTTCATTTCTTATAGATAGGGGTGTGTGTAACACACACACACACACACACACACACACACACACACACACGCACGCCAAGAGTCTAATGTACCTGACATAGGTAGGTAACTAATAAATGGTGGCTATCATTATAGTACTATTTTCATTAGGCACAGTCTGAATCTAATTCTATAGGACAGCCTGCCAGATATTGGAGGAAGCAGCAATTTTTTTTAGGGTAAATATCTTTCATTCTTTCTTTCATAAATCATGTGACCTTGTTTCCAGACTCTCCCCATCCTGGTCTGTCACCCTTGAATCTACTTCATTTTTCTGTGTCTTTTTCAGACTTTGGTTTGAGGCCTTTTAGAAAAATGATAGGACTAGAATAAGAAAATTAGGCAAAGCAGATCACTTCTTGATTATGTTTAATACTAAGATTTTTATTTTTATATTTTAAATTTTCTTCAAATGGGATATATGTAAGCCTAAGGTTAACACGGTACATATAGAAATATATTTTATGGTTTTATTTCCTAGAAATCACTCTACATTATGCTTCAGTTTTAGGAAAGTTTAGTTTTTACTTGCTCGATTTTCAATTAAACTTGTCAAAGTTTAGTAGTTTTAACTATAAGGTCATTGTCATTTCCAGAATTTTTCAATTCAGCAAAGGATGAATGATGTTAAGTATATTTGTACATACAGATATACAGTGGATTTTCTTTATTTACAGGAGTTATGTTCTGTAAAGCTCCTGAAAACACTGAATCAGAGAACAGTGAATTCCTGCTCCTAGAGGAAACGCACTGTTAGGTTCCTGAAAGCCACTGGTCACAACATTTCCATCAACCATTCAATACGTAACCTTGTTTTGTGTGTTTGTTTAAGTCTTTAAACAATATTTTTTATTTAATATGTATAGTCAGTTCATTAACATGGAACACACAGCCAACAGCACTATGCCTCCTGCCTGATTGAAGCTTCTCTAACACACGTATTTTCTCTACAACACACAGCTTTCTTGTGTTCTAAAACACACAAGACAGTTTCAGCACCATTTTAGATAGAGAGATCGAGAGATTGCCAACACAAAGCAAAAAAACGTGAAAAGCATGGCACCAAATAGACTGAAAAGGATATTTGTTTACAGTGTGAGAGCTAATACAGAAAGGCACACTGTCACCTTGTTCTGCCTCCGCTGGGAACAGTAGCATTGGCTTACTGTAATTTTTCACCATTTTGCACATGCACACATCTGGGAGTGATAGTGAAAGCTGTGGGTGTTGATTTTAGGATTACAAATAAATTTTAGCAAGTAAGCAAATTCTCAAATATGCAGTTCGCCAATAATGAGGATCAACTGTATATGTTCAAAAAGAAGGAAAAATTAAACCACTTATATTTTACAAACAACATTTTCAAACTGTTAAAGAGGCATTTTGAGTCAGATTCATATTTCTTTTCCTTCAGAAAATGTAATACAGCATCACACTTGGAGCAGTACCATTCCCAATAACTGTTGCCTTTTTAGCATCTTGTAAGGAGTTGGGTCTTACTTCAGCAGTGATAGGCCTTGCATAGTGAGGAAGTCACTTTAGCTTATCTTAGTAGGTGGTAAGTTAAAAGTTTCTATTTGAAGTGTTCTTCCGGTGTTTTAATGAATTAACCTTAGCCTAATAAGGTAGATGTTGATATTTTAATTCATACCACTTTGTTTTTGATCATTATGTCAGCCTCCTTAGGAGGTATAGTGTAATGAAAACATTGTCCATAAAACCAAGTAGCTTAGTGCTTTAAAAAATCAATGGTTTTTATGAGTTTAATTTTACCTGAAAACTAATTGTAATATATAACCGGAGGGTATACATTTTAGCAGTAATTCAGATATTAACTTTGTTCCAGTAAACAAAATCTTAAATTCCTAACTTATAACCATAAAGAAAATTCACAGTGAAGACTGATAACACTGAAGTTGCCTAGTGCCGTCTGTTCATAGTGTTTTATGGCCCTGGTCACCTAAGCTCCCAGGACATTTGGCTCAGAATGTATGTAGCTCTAAGGGCTAAGAAGGAATAGTATAAAAATGTGAGTTGAATGGAAACCAGTATCATCTGGATGGACAGTGATTCAAATGGAATTTTTTTTTCTCCCTTCTTCAGTGACTTTATGCCTAAGACTGTTGGCATTGATCCAAGTCCATTTACTGTGCGTAAACCAGATGAAACCGGAAAATCAGTATTGGGGTAAGATTTGCATATAGAATGAAAATTTAAAGATTCATGTAAAATAAGATAGTACTTGCAATATAATTTCTACCAAAAACTAATAACTTCAAGTCACATAGTTTGGGCACAGTCCATTTATTGCATCTATACAGGTAGGTTATTTGTAGCACTGGGATCACTAAAATATTCAGTGTGGAAAGTGGGATTTATCAGCAACGTTTTCTTATTTCAAATTAGAAATATCACAGATGGCATAAAGACAGGTAGAAGATATTATGTGCTGTGTGTCCTATAAATAACTCAACGCCCTCTATTTCCCTCAACATAAAATACTTAGGTAAAAATTTATATTTATTGTATTTATTTTTGTCATCCTGAGGAAACTTTAAAGCAAATATGCTCAGATAGAGATGAATAGATTTTGTGGATATTATTGTAACATTGTTTTGAGGAGACTGTTATTTTATTATATCCAATAATATGGAGAAGAAGATGAACCATGTTTACATCATCATGCTTAGAGACTGGAGTGAAGTTTGTTTTAGCATGAGAATCTCCGTTGCTGCCTCTGACCAGAATAAACCCAGTGATAAGGTTTCTTCTAGACCCTGACCAGAAACCCTGACCAGACTACAGACACTGAGTCCTAATTATATTTAGGAGTGTATATGGGGTCCTAATTGGATTCTAGCTACATGTGATTTATACAATGGGATATATATTACTATTTTTCAGACACACCATTTCTGTGGCTTAAATATGTGACTTTAAATAGCTACATGTTAAACCCTGGGTCAGAAGCCTAGGAATTTAAAAGAAGGATGTCCTGAGGAGTTGAGAATTTAAGGAGTTCCTGGGACAAATACATAAATGATCAGCTATATTAGTATATGGCACAGAAATGCTATCAACTTTAATTTTTAAGAGAAAGTAGAAACTAATTTATTTTCTAAATTGTCTAACCCATAGTCAGATAGTATTTTCCTTTCCTAGAACATTTCAGAATATTGTGGTATTTTATATCCCTTGCAGAAAACTTTTTAAAAAGAGTGAAATATTAAACATTTTTAATAAAAGCCAAAATTATTACTATAAAATATTTTTTGAATGAAAAAAACCAATATTCTTACTACTCTCAAATTTGGAACTAAAATAAAAGTAAATACTTTTATAATTCTGGGTTTTTTTTTCTGTTCCCCCACCTCCTCATCTATCCCTTACTATTAGAAGAAATATCCAGCAAATATAGTTATTTACTAATAACAGTAAATTTTAAAATTTAGTGTATCTTCATTAATTACTCATTACTTTGGTACAAGTAATCAGCTGATACTGTGATTGATAAAAATCATAGGAGGGAAGGAAATATACATGGATTTGGCTATTGAAGGTTTTACAAGTTATAGGTAATTCTACTAATACCTCAAACATATAGTCTATTATTGTACCATAAATTTTGAAAATATTGGTACTGTATTACAGTACCAATATAACCAAGGGTCAGAAGATTTTTCTGCACTGGCTTATACTCACATCCTGGTTTATTTTCTGAATTTATAACAGGGCTTAAATTCATAGAAGGTCAGTACCTGTACAGGGTAAAATATTAAGGTTTTCCCATTAACACAACTTGAGCTTAGAAACCAGTTTCTCACAGTCATTTTCTTATGCTTCACCAGGGCTAAGGCTTTATTTTGTTGGCATCCTGAGGAAACTTTAAAGCAAATAGTCTTAGATAGAGAGACTTTGGGGTACAGTGTGCTACAGTGCGTGTTGAGAGTTTGCTTTAAAGATGCTTCACCTCCATATTGATCTTTCAAAGAAACAAAAGCAATAGAGAAGAAGCTGTGTTACAGCGGAAGACAGCAGCCAGCGCCCCGCCACCCCCCAGCGAGGAGGCTGTGTCCAGCAGCTCTGAGGATGACTCGGGGACCGATCGGGAAGAGGAGGGCTCTGTGTCACAGCGCTCCACTCCAGTGAAGATGACCGACACGGGCGACAGTGCCAAAGTGACCGAGGTGTGGGGGAGAGAAGCTTGTGTGGGCAACAGGAGGCTCTGGGGAAAGACCTCTAAAATTCTACTTTCAGTTAAAAGACTGGGAAAAGGTCATGCTATCTCACTCACACCAGTCTAATGTGTGGTGTTTGAGGCACTGAGTACATTTAGCATCGACAGTATTGAAAATGGTTTCATTTTGAGATAAAATTGGTATTTTTGCTCCCAGGTATAATAGTGAATTTCTTATCACTTCAGAATTTTTAGAGAATTTTATCTCTCTTTAAGCAGCCTGTTGTTGGAATACAGGACCTCACAATCTTTGCATAGCCTCAGTGGAAAATTCACTCTGTTCAATTTGATATTACCAATTTATTACGGGAAAATAAAGGGAAGTAAACAACAAAAGAACCAAATCCAGCTTTGAGGAATTTTAATTTCTAGAATTTGCCAAAAGTCATTAGAGGTAGCTAAGGCAAATAAAATGTGATAATATAAGAACTTAATCCATTATTCCAGGAGTCAGCAAACTGCAACCAGATTGGCCAGATCCACACTGTTGCCTGTTTTTATAAATAAAGTTTTATAGGCACCCAGCCATGCCTGTTTGATTATTATACATGTTGTCTGTGGTTGCCTTTGCACCATAACAGCAGAGTTGAGTAATTAGTAGTCATGCCAGCAGAGATGGTATGACACAAAGAACCTAAAATATTTACCATCTGGCCCTTTGCAGAAAAAGTTTGCCAACTCCTGCATTATACAAAAGCAACTGGTAATTACTGAAGCTTTTTACCTTAAAATAAACTATTTTTAGTGGAAATGAAATCAGATTTTAAAAAAATCATTAGATGAGAAGTATAATAAATAAGACTGAAGAAACCCAGTGATTACTTTTCACAGGTTCATTTTTCTTTATCTTTGGACATAATTAATATGCTAGATGTCTAAAAATTCTTCTTCTTTTTTTTAACCCCAGAATGTAGTCCAGCCCATGAAAGAGGTATATGGAATTAACCTCTCGGATGGCCTCTCAGAAGAAGATCTCTCCATTTATTCGAGGTAAACTACTTCCTTCCACGTAGAGAGTAAGGAAACAAATGGAAATGTAGTATTACAATAACATCTAGTTATAGACTGTGAAAAGGATAATTGTTTACAGTATGAGAACTAAAACAAAAAGAGTGTCACTTTGTTCTGCCTCAGCTGGGAACATTAACGTTGGGTTACTCTAACTTTTCACTGTTCTACACATGCACATGTCGGAGTGATCACTGAAAGCTCTGAGTGTATAACTTTGAAAAACTGAAAATAGTCAATACAGAGGGAAATGAATTCCACTTGGAATACAGTTGTAGTGTTTAGGAGGTCAAATTCAGAAATACTGATTTGTATTTGGAGTTAAAGGGCCTACTCCCTGAGACTCTTAGTGATTAAAAATAGGGATGTGTACATGTATTTTCACTGCCCACATATAAGCTGCAGACTGAAGTACACAGACATTTCTGCATTAACAAATCCTTAAGATCAAGTACCTTCTTACAAAATGAACCTGGGATATCGACGATGAGGACCTTACATTTGCTTTATTTCTGGGTCACTAGTGGAAGTGGTGGCTGAGTAGGAAAAAGGAAAAGGAAGCAGTGACACAAGGGTGCTTTTTACTTCAAACTAGTAAGACCTGCCATGTCATATGTAAAATACAAAAATGCACAGCATTTCTTGACTACAAAAGCACTGGCATGCCAGCATCACTGTCTTACGGGAAGCCAGTCTAGTCATTCAGAACTCAGCCACACCCACCTCACTCCTGGACACACAGGCCTTCAGTCACAACAGTGCAGCTAAAGACACTTCATTAGCTGAAGTGGGTCTTGGTAAGCAACATGGTCGGGCAGCCTGAGTTATCCAGGTTTCACGACTGAACAATAGGACTGCTTATTGCAGAGAGCGTGAGTGTACACGTCAAACACTGACATTTTGGCTCACTTTAATTAAGCAGAAAGTTATCTCTTGCTTCAGGCATGACTTTCACCTGGAGCCTTTTGAGCTCAGACTGCCCCTGAGGCCCACTTCTAGTTCTCCCTTCCTGAGAAGTGAGATACAGCCTTTTTCAGCCACAACATCCCTGGGAAACAATCTAAGAAGGGTACGAGGGCAGGCCTGCAGGGAAGGGATTACCGCAGAAGTGGAAGGAGTCCATGTCCTGGAATAAGATCCTGTTTTTGATATTCTGAAGAACAGTACCTCCTCCTTTGATGTGTCTAACACTTTACAGTGTTTTGGTTTTTTAGACAACTCTGTAGTAGACTGAAAAGATATTGTTATCCCTTTTTATATGCTGACAGCACAGAAAGAGCCATTCCGTGACTTATCCAGGAGACCTGTCCTGTGCTTCTTGGGTGTCTTGTGATTTTAGACTGTACCATCCTCTTTATCCTCTTAGTAACATCAGCTCCCCCTGCTTGTTACAGACCTAGGGGGAAGGGGAGAAGCAGGGGGCCTGGCTGTCTCTTCCTCTCTCTGTGAGTAGCCCCTTCCTATGGGCAGACTGCCCCTATTGGCAGTAGGGACATCTCCCATCTCTGAGATCGGCCACAGGTATCGCTATAGGCAGAGGAAGCCTCCCTCCATCAGTATCTGGGGGATGGGTAGTTGTGCCAGGGGGTGGGCAAGGATGTTCAGGGACTGACTGGTATCTCCTTTTGCCCCAGCTGGGCCTGAGGCTCACTTAGTGCCTCCTCTGATCCAGAGGGCAGGGCTTCAAGGGCAGGGCGAGAGCCCATGTAGCTCTGCCCTAAATTGTGAGGCGCCCTTTCCCACTACAGTTCTGTACCGAGTCGGCTGGTACCCACTAAAGTTTGTGCATGAAAAGATGGTGCCTTGTGCTGGCTTGCCTGTCATAGCTCCCACATGGGCTACCATAGAACAGTGGTGGGGAGGGAAGTGATGCAGCTAGAATTGGCTTCTGCAGCCTGTCTCCCAGCTTCCTGCTCTCCTGCCTGTTTTTCCTATGTGACTTTCAACCACCGTCAAACTCCTGAGGATTTCTTGGTTTTATAGTTTTGTTCTAATTGCCGAGCCCTCTTCCCTGTACCTTCCTTTGCCCTCATCTTTTCTGATATCTTTGGTTTGCTATCTTGAGTAGACCCAAAACTTTTCTACATACTTCCTCAAAGCCTCAGACCCCTACCAAATCCTTTTTTTTTTTTAAAATTCGGTGCACATGATTTGGTAAGTTTAAAGTTCTGTACAAATATTAGATATTATGTGATGTTCTTTTCAAAAAATGCATCAAAAATGTTCACTTGGTGAAGATAAAACATTGCATAAAAGTAAGCTATTTAAAAGTTTTTCAGTAGCACTGTAATGATTCATGAATTGGTAGTTTCTGTAGCACTTTGTTTGACCTTTAAAAAAGCTAATTAAAAAATAAATTTATAAAAGTATCCATAGTCGTCAATAGAAAATGTTTTAAATAGCAGAAAAGTAGAAAGGGAATTAGCCTTTTAATCCTGTCCTGTAACCTCCCAGGGTCACATTAGAACAAAACTACAAGCCACAACCCAAAGAGGAAGATGGATGCACGTAGCACAGGCCACCTTTAGACAGGTCTGTGCTTGAGAAATAGCTGGGCCCATCCTAGATATCCTCTTACCCTGCTGAGCGGGCCTGGGGTGATTCTCTTTGGCTCTTAGCTTCAAGCCTAGATCAGTATTGTTCCAGTCTTCTCAAAGGAGGGGTGGTATACAGTGGTGCTCAGCAGATGGTCTCCTCATTCCCCTCCATCTCTGTTGAAAGTACTCTTAGGAGTGAGTGGAGCATACTTGGGGATTCTTGTGGTCCTAACGGAACTGAGTCCAGGTCCTGGGCTCTGAACAGCATCCTGCTTTAGGAGGTAGATCCCTAGCCTGATCTCCCCCATCCCTGTCATTTGTCTCACCGTAAATGTTTCCCCGTGTTTCTTGCTGCAGTCACCCTTAGATAAGTGAGGCCCTGCAAGGTAATCTGTTTGGCTTCAGGAACATTTCGGTTGAGTTCTGTACCACATTTAAGCAGATAGAAATACAATGAAGTACACATTTCATTTCAGTCTTGTATCCATGGTTCTGACTTACATTTTAAGCAGAACCCCCACTTCTTTACGTCTAACAAACCCACTCTAAAATCAGACAACCACTTACAAGTAGGTTACTCTTGTGTGCTTTTTCTGAAATAAGTATGCTATTGTCATTTGAAAGCTGATTCCATTTTGTGTGATCTACTGAACTTCTTGCAAGTAGTTTCTTCTTTCGCTTAATTTTTATCCATTGTAATTTATAGATTTGTTCAGCTGGGTCAGCGTCAACATCAACAAGACAAGAGCAGCCAGCAGCTCTGTTCCAGGTGCCCAGATGGAGTTATAAAATTGTAAGTACTCGATTAGACCTTTAAAAAAGAAATCTTTGTATTCATGCCATTCACAGTGCTTTTCTTTTTTTCTTTAAAGACTGTAAAAAAAAATATCATCTTCTCACCACATTAGTATAAGCACCAAAGCATCTCTTCCTGGTACCTTATCCAAGGAAAACTGGGGAGCTGTGGGGATGGGGAAGAGATTGGGAGCCTTGACGGTATTTGAAGTGCATCCTTTGGATGTAAGATTGGAGTTGATGGAGGCTTCTCTCCATGAACTCTACCCTCCACTGTGTAGAGGTCGGATGACAAAACAGCTCTGACCCTGCAAACAGGCTCCTCAAGTTCAATACAAGACCCTTGAGGACAGGGATGGGCTTGTCTCTTCCAGCTATATATCCTCACCAGTTCTAAACTTGCTAAAGTTCAACAGGTGTGTAGTAAATTCAGAACTAGGTTCTTATCCTGAATCATAGCTCCTCTACCATGTTTTATCACAGCCTTCAAAATGCTATTCCCTTTGTTCTCTCCCCATCAGTATTTTTTT